CGAACAAAATTCCTACTAAACGGCTATCCAAAACGAATGCTAAACAACTGGGAAAGGAAAATGAACAACAAAAGGCTGGTAAATAAACAAAACGAAAGAAACACCGTAAGATACATACCCTTCCCTTACATCCGTGGCTTCTTTGAACAAGTAAACAAAAGCTTTGAAAAAATAGATATAAAGCTAGCCCCAACCTATAACAACCTGCAAAAAAGAATCCGGAAGACTGTACCTGACAGAAATAAACAACCAGACAAATACAGCACTACCGAAGTCGTCTATAAAATACCTTGCACATGCAAACCCCCAGAAGTAAATGTAGGTGATGGAATTATTTGCCAAGTGTCTATAAATTCCCCAAATTTTTTATAAAGGTACCTCCACACATGCAATACTGTATTTCAGTCTTTAAAGTTAATACACTTACCGATCAGGCTGGCTTAATATATTTCCAAAGCCTCCAGGCTACAAATATGGTCTGATAGGCCTACTTAATTAACTTGATGTTCTGGAGGTCTGCATGCATGTATGGGTTGGTGATTGATGCTCCCGTACCTTCTTTCATATTGATTGTTTAGTTGAACCAGTATACACAGGGATGATAGAATTTGAAGGAAATTAGTGTATATTGGCTCAACTAAACAATCAGTACGAAAGAAGGTACATGAGCATCAATTTGACCATACAGACAACAGACACACTACCAACTTGTCTACATACATCACTGACCTGGACGTGCATGCCGACCTCCAGAACATCAAGTTACTTAGGCAAGCCTATCAAACAGATCGTATTTGTAGCCTGGAGGCTTTGGAAATATATAAAGCCAGCCTGACCAGCAAGTATATTAACTTTAAAGACTACAATACAGTATTGCATGCATGGAGGTACCTTTATAAAAAATTCAGGGAAAGTTAACCTATATTAATTTATCTCAGACACTACATACTGTATGTACAGTACATCTTAAAAATGTATATGTGTGACATGGTCATACATTTATGATTTTTATTCTATCTACTGTATGAATTTGGCTTACGTTGTGAGGTATTTGAAATTATAAAAATTAATTTTTCAAATATTATCATTCTAACATTTCATTTTGGAATTCTTTTTTGTTAAAAATCTGAGGCAGGCCTTGGTAAGGCCAAAAACGTTCAGAGTTTTCTTTAAAGTTCTGTTACTGGTATTTAAAGGTTTTATTTTTATTTGATTTATAGTTTTAAAATATAATTTATTTAATGAACTAGTTAGAAATTTTATGTAATGTTAGGCATTCTTTTTATTTAATTTCAAATTATTTAAATTCTGAAGCTAGTTTTTATCAAACAATAACTTACACACAATTTTGCAGAGTTCATTTTATAAAAATTTTTAATCACATGACTTATAAAAAGAATTTACTTTTTGTAATTGGTTAATTTCAGGTAAAACTCTTGCTTATGCAATACCAATTATGCAAAAGTTACAAGCTATAACACCAAAATTAAAGAGATCCGATGGAATCTATGCCATAGTTATTGTACCTACAAGAGAGGTTTGACATTTATTTATTTATAAAATGTTTCTCTTTAAGTTATTAATAGTTTTTAATAATCCATGTACAGTAGCTTTTTGTTATATCACTCATTTGGATATATCACGAGTTTTTTGTCTTTCAAAAATAAAAATGCCTAAGCCAATAATTTTTAAAAAATCAGTTGCCATTGAATTTCTACTGGCAATCTGGCAAAATTGAATTTCTAATGACAATCATCATTCTTGAAACTGCATTATGTGAAATTGAAATACAATTTATAAAAAAGCAAGTTGGAATGAAAATCAAAAATAGGCAAAACAGGTGGATAGATACAGTGCAATCATAAAGCCCCTTTGCAGTGGGCCATGCCCGTGTGGCTCAGCTGAATAGTGATGTCATAACTTACTTTAACTCTTTCAATGTGTGGTCTGTCTGTGATGTCATTACTTTATTCCTGGAAGCTCCTCCTGTTTTTCCACCCACTGTAGAGGTACTTTACTGTTGCACTGTACATTAGTTATATCTTGTTGTTGGATGTATCAATTATTTTTATTTGGTTTGTCTCCCAACACATGCATGCCCACCAGTGCTGAGAGGGGAACATCACTGAATGCCAATGGTTATGGATTCATGTCTTGCCAACAGGCTTGTTATTTGGAGTTTTCTGGGTTTTATTCACATTTGTAACACCTAAATAGGGATCAATTTCCCATAGAAAGTCCTTCTAGGAGGCATCACCTTCCTCATGTGTTACATTGCCGTATACAAATAAAACCAAACCCAACATATGCTATAACAAGAGGCTATTGTAATTTAATATTAATTATAAGTACTCAGAAATATAGTAGATTCATTATTAGCCCAGTTGGTTAATAGGACATGCTGTGTATTAGGATAAAACATTCAAGAATGGAATCAAATCCTACTATTACTTCACCTACTGGCCCTTGCTGGCACAGTTTTTTTCTTGGAAAACTAAACAAAAGAGACATGAATTTGGATATTTTTGGCTTTTCCATACATGATTTCCATCTGGTTTTCTTTATCAGCTGTCAGTCATTAAAACACAAGAAACCTTTTTAAGAGTGTAGGCCTTATCTTCCCCTTTCTCACTCAACCGTGTCAAATTGGCTCGACCATTCATATGGACCACATGTTTCAACAAGGTGTGTACCACTGCCATACAAAATGACAAGACAGAAATTCTCAGAAATTCTTCATTCCCTACCTCACATCTCCACCCCACTTTTGTCTTTGTGGCCATTAACTGTCCAGAGGGCAGATGGAGCACTTGTCTTTGGCTCTCCAGTGTTTGATTCAAGATGCCACAGATGGAATCGACACTTGCTAAGAAAATTGATCTGCTAGATCAGATCAAAAAGAGAACCTCCTAGTACTATCTACCAGCAACTGGCAGAGATGACAGGTGTGTCCAGAAACACAATCTCACACTTGATAAAGTAGGAAGACAAACTTCAAGAAGAATGGACATCCTGTGAAGGAAGCCAAGGAACAATTTGGAAACTGAAACACGAGGGCAAGGATCCAAAAGTTGATGATGCTCTCAATCAATGGTTTGCTACTGTAATTGTGAAAGGTGTTCATGTCAGTGGTTCAATGCTCAAATGTCAAGCAGATGTTCTTGCTAAGAAGCTGAATCACCACAATTTCAAACATTAAACAGAATGTGCTCAGCAAATAATTAACTTATCACAACATATCTTTCTTGTTGCTGAGATAGTTTTATTGAAAACTAATGTTTTTGGCCTACTCCACGGGTCATCCTCAGGCTTAACAAGAACAACAAGAAAGATGTGTTGTGTTAAGATAAGATAAGCTAAACACAGTTTCAAAGCAACAGATCTTAGATTGTCTCAATAGAAATTGAGGCCTGAAATCAAATTTAAGAAAGCTCACGGTGAAAAGAAAAGTGCCAACACTGCAAGTGCAGATGAATGGAAAAACACCAAATTGCCTGAACTTCTGGAGAAAACTTCTCCAGATGACATCTACAATGCAGATGAGACTGGACTTTATTGTGCTATACCAGATAGTTTGTTGTGCTCAAACACATTACTTTGTCTGGTTCAAGAAAGCAATGGATTGCATAACTGTGTTGTGCTGCTCAAACTTGTCAGGTGACAAACAGAAGCTGTTGATCATTGGGAAAAGTGTGAAGCCCTGATATTTTAAAGGTCTTTGAATGGATGCCTTGCCTGTGGTTTGCCATTGAAACAAAAAGGCATGGATGACTTCTGTACATTTTAAGGAGTGGCTTAAAACATGGGATGAGAACTAGGACGAAGTTCAAGAAAAGTTGTCTTGCTGTTGGACAACTGTGCTGCACATCCTCATTTGGATTTTTCTGAAAAACATCCAGATTGAACTTTTGCTTCCCCAGACCATTTTTTTGATACAGTCAATGGACATGGAGATCATAAAGAACTTGAAGATGCTATACCGTGGACAACCAGTAAATTTTACTCTCCAAGCAATTGAAGATCTACTAATGTCATCTTCAACTGCCATCGAAGTAAGCTCAAAGGTCAACGTTTGACAAGTAATCCAGTTCCTAAGTGACAGTTGGCAGAAAATAAGCAGCAAGATGATTCAAAACTGCTTTGTTCACTGTGGTTTCAAGCCCTTCGGACTTGGCATTGCAAGCAGTGGGAGCAGACAGCAATGAGAATGACATTAATGCAGAAGTGCAACAAGTCCATCAATACAATGAGTTTTTATGAATTGGCAACAGTCATATAAACAACCCATAGACAAAAAATTAGAATATTCACTTAACTGGAACTTAAGTGTACATTTTCTCATGAACAACACAGAGTACAAAACTTTTTTTCAACACTACATAAACAGTGCTTATGTATATTTATTATATCCATTAATCAGACAAATTAACTCAAACATTTTTTGTTACAAATGGAAAAAAAAATAGAATAACAGTTTGACCATGACAAAAAATTTGAATATTAGCACAAACAGCCATAAAAAACTAAATTGTAATGCAAATTTGCATACTGCTGAGCAGAGCAGTATAACAGTACATGGGACATAAGTGTGACATCAGTGATAGAACTAAAGATACTATCCTAGCCTTGCACAAAGAAGGAAGAACATAAAAAGAAATTGCAAATTATGTAAAGTGCTCACAGCCAACAGTCTCTAAAGTACTAAAATAATAAAACCATGTTAAAGTTTTAACTAACAAATGCCAGAAATGTGAATGTAAATGAGCAATGACTGAGGGATGAGAGAAACTTCAGAAGGATTGTCGTGAAAATCTGCTTTAAAAGTGTTAAACACTTGCATGCACAATGGAGAGCAACTGGAATGAATGTTATTAGCTGAATCACATTCTGAAGGTTGCACTTCAAGATGAAGCCATCTCTAATGAAAAAACGACGACAAGCATGTGTCAGATGGTGCAGAGAGAAGCTCGTGACAGGATGATTAGAATAACGTTCTCTTCAGTGACAAATCCCTGTTTTGTCTCTCCTGTGGCCCATTTATGGAGAACAACTAAAGAGACATTCGAAAAGGACTGTAGGAAGAGAGTCATGAAGTTTGCATCATTCGTCTTGATCTGGAGATGCATGAGTACAAACAGCACAGGACAGCTGTGCATTCTTCAGGAATGTGTCAATGTACAGACATATCAAGACATCTTAGAGACATTTATGATACCATCGGCAGAGGATTTAGTTGAGGAAACATTTCTATTTCAAGAAAACGGGGCATCCTCTCATACCGAGAAGTCAACGATATATTGGTTACAAGAACAAAAGATTGTAATCCTGCCTTGGCTAAGCAATTCCCCAGACTTAAACCCCATTGAAAATTTGTGGGGAGTCATGAAAGGACAATTTAATGAATGGTGTTCAACTTCTAAAGAGGAACTAGTGAAGTTCATTTGACACATTTGAAACTGCATCACCAGAAACAAATGTGAAGTATTAATCTGCACCATGCCTGACAGATTGCAAGCAGTAATTATGGCAAATGGTGACACCACAAAATATTAAGTTTATTTTGTTGTATTTCCTATATTTTGCCATGGTCAAACTGTTATTCGATTTTTTTGTCATCATTTTCATTTGTAATAAAAAATATTTGAGTTAATTTGTCTGATTAATGGATATAATAAATATACATAAGCACTGTTTATGTAGTGTTGAAAAAAGTTTTGTACTATGTGTTTTTCATGAGAAAATGTACACTAAACATCCAGTTAGGTGAATATTCTAATATTTTGTCTAGGAGATGTATAATATTCTTAATATCCAAAATAAAAAAAGAATTTATTCTTAACTTAAAAATTTTATTTATATTATTTGTTGTTTTCTTTTATTAATTTTTAAATAGAATTATGATTTTATTGGTTTTAATTAGTTATTTTAATAACTTTAAAGTTTAATTTTAATTGAAATTTTACTTGCTATATTTTATTATGAATTTGCATTGACCCTACTAATATATTTTGTATTATTTCAGCTTGCCATTCAGAGTTATGAATGTTTTGAAAAATTATCAAGAGTAAGTGAAACACATTTATCATTAATTTGGAATAATTGCTATGAGATCTATTCTACATCTTTTCTTCAAATACATTAAAAAAAAAAATTCAACAAATAAACTGTTAAGTTGAGGACACAATAAATTTATTTGATAAGTAACATTTCTGGGCCTATTTGGTTCATCATTGGTTTTTCATGAACTTAAAACAATTGAGAATACAAAATATAACTGACAGTTGAGTTTCCAATAATTTACATTTTAAATTTTTATATAGAACAAAATTAAAAAATTAAAAGTAAAATTTAAAATTAACAGTTGAGATTATATACGTCTATACGTCTATAGAATAAAATTCAAAATTAGATTCTCAGAGGAAGGAAAAACAGTTACCTTTTTTTTTTTTTTTTTTTATGGCATTGAATGTAAGAAAGGAAATACTCATATTGAATAAACAGAACCTGTTTTAAGATATAATATTTAATATTTACATTACTTTCTACAATTTATTGAAAATGAATGTTGCTTAGTTATTCTTATAGTTATATAGTTCTTATCAATCAATTTTTTAAATTTTAGGCTTTTACATGGATAGTGCCAGGCTATTTAATTGGAGGTGAGAAAAAGAAATCTGAAAAAGCAAGGTAATTATTATTTTCAAACATTAAAATATATACACTATAATATTAATTTAAAATATTCTTTTCATAATGTAAACATCTCAATTTCTAAAATAATAACAGAAATTTACTTTATTTACTAAAGCTTAATATAACGGGCTGCAATTTTTGATCATATTTTTAATTTATTTAATTTAAAAGATATGCTCTCCATCTCAAATTAGTACTGTAATGTCTCACCCCTGTACATACTTTTTTTTAACATTAGAGTTGTGTTGGTCATCTATTAACTGCTTTCAGGGGAAAATTTTTGAATTGAAATAATGTGACTTCCAGTTTGAATCAGAAGTTCTTATATAGTTAATCAGGTTTCCTGCCCTGAAGGTTTCCACATCTCGTCTTGTATTTCATCTATCTAACTCTGTTCTCAAGATTAAGGAAAGACAAATGGAAGACAGTGGGAATTTATAGGTCTTCAATTTTTTCAAATTGTGGTCCAATTAAGCTATAATATAATATATTATAATAAATAATTATTTAATGTCAGTGACTCCAGTAAAGCAGATTATTATCATCTGTTCAGTTAATACACATTATACTTCAGTATATGTTTTATTATTATTTCTTTAACATTCTTAACATTGTAAGATAGTTTTCCAAAAACCAGCCTTTCTTTCTGTTATAAATCAGTCTTTCATCTAAGCAGCAAAGTCAATCAAAATAATATTGAATATGATAATCTGAAAAACCTATCATGGTATGTGAACATGATTGTGACAGCCCAAAGATTGTTGGTGTGGATTGCTTTACAACAAAAGCATTGACACTTCTTTTTCTCAAGAAAACATTGTCAATACATATGTGTATTTGGATTAGTTGGACTTGTTTATCTTTCCACAACTTCAGGAAATCTTATGTCAGATTCCAGCAAGATGATGCCCCTCTTCATTGGGATTTGGACATTCAAGCCAAGTCAAATGAAGCTTTTTCCATGTGACGCCTTATCTATTTCTATCGAGAGCCCAGATAGTTTCCTAGTGGTGTGTTACATAAATGAGGGTTCAGTTAGTGCCAGGCCTGGATTTTAAGCAGGCAATAAGTAACAAAAATTGTTAATAACAACTCAAAATACCTGAAATAATTACTATACGTAATAATGTAAAAAAATTTATTTATTCTTCTAACGAGGGGACCTTACGGTCTCGGAAATTCAGTTCAGGGTGAGACTTTGCAGGTTAGTAGTATACCCCAAGGGTGTCCACCCAGAAGAATTGTAAAGTGCACTAGCCAGAAGATTCCAAGAAAAAAGGCTCTAAAGTTTTAAGTGCAGCTCATATACTGATCGATTTTACACTATGGTAGCACAGCGAAATGGCTGAGTCTGTAGCGAACTCGCTTGCCATGTGGGCGATCTAGGTTTGATCCTACCTTCAGCTAACTTTTTTTTTTTTAATTGTTCTAAAAATTGTAACAACTTTTAAATAAAGTTAATGACCTAAAAATATTACCAATTAAATCATAAATAACTGTCAACTTTCACACCTGGTAGCTAATCATTCCACAAATATTCACAAGTCAACAGCAAAAGTGACACTTTCACATAACTTTCTGACTGTCCTCTTAAACAAGGAATTGAAAAATTTTTCAAATTTAAAACGAATATTTTTAACCTCTCCACAGCTTATAATATCTTAAAATTTTAAAAATAAAATCTTAAAAATAAAATATTATCTTTCATTCACATTTTAATAAAATGTGAATTAAAGATAATATTTTATTTTTAAAAAGTTGAATAATTTCAAATGCATTTCTAATGGAGGTAAATTAAAACTTTAATTACTATTGTCATTAAAAAGTTATTACAAATTTTAAGATATTATAAGCTGTGGAGAGGTTAAAAATATTCGTTGTAAATTTGAGGAACTGGTTTCTACGTGGAAGAGTAGAGTATAGCTGTTGATTATTATTTATGATTTAATTGATAATATTTTTAGGTCATT